TGAAATGTTCTGAATATATCTGTTAAGTCCATCTGGTCCAGTGTGTCATTCAAAGCCATTGTTTCCTTTTGATTTTTTGATTAGATGATCTGTCCATTGTTGTCAGTGGGGTGTTGAAGTCTCCTATTATGGCATTACTATTGATGAGTTTCTTTATGTTTGTGATTAATTGATTTATATATTTGGGTGCTCTCACATATGGCACGTAAGTGTTTACAATTGTTACGTCTTCTTGGTGGATAGACCCCTTGAGTATGATATAATGCCCTTCTGCATCTCTTCATACAGTCTTTATTTTAAAGTCTAGAGTCTGATATAATTATGGCTACTCCAGCTTTCTTTTGTTGACCATTAGCATGATAGATGGTTCTCCATCCCCTTATTTTCATTCTGAAGGTGTCTAGGTCTAAAGTGATCTCTTGTAAACACCATATAGTTGGATCTTGTTTTCTTATCCATTCTGTTACCTTATGTCTTTTGATTGGAGCATTGAGCCCATTGATGTTTAGAGTGAGTCCTGAAAGATATGAGTTTATTGCCATTATGATGCTTGTAGAGTTGGAGTTTCTGGTGGTGTTCTCTGGTCCTTTCTAATCTTTGTTGCTTTTGGTATATATATATGCATATATATGTATGTATATATATATTTTTAGTCTTTTCTCCCCTCAGAGAGTCCCCTTAAAATTTCTTTAAAAAAATTTTTTTTTTCAACGTTTATTTATTTTTGGGACAGAGAGAGACAGAGCATGAATGGGGGAGGGGCAGAGAGAGAGGGAGACACAGAATCGGAAGCAGGCTCCAGGCTCTGAGCCATCAGCCCAGAGCCCGACGCGGGGCTCGAACTCACGGACCGCGAGATCGTGACCTGGCTGAAGTCGGACGCTTAACCGACTGCACCACCCAGGCGCCCCAACAGGGCTGGTTTAGTGGTCACAAACTCCTTTAATTTTTGTTTGTCTGGGAAACTTTATCTCTCCTTCTATTTTGAATGACAGACTTGCTGGATAAAGAATTCTTGGCTGCATATTTTTCTGATTCAGCACACTGAATATATCCTGCCACTCCTTGCTGGCCTGCCAAGTTTCTGTGGATAGGTCTGCTGCAAACCTGATCTGTATTCCCTTGTATGTTAGGGACTTTTTTTCCCTTGCTGCTTTCATGATTCTCTCCTTGCTTGAGTATTTTGTGAATTTGACTATGATATGCCTTGTTGATGGTCGGTTTTGGTTGAATCTAATGGGGGTCCTCTGTGCTTCCTGGATTTTGATGTCTCTGTCTTTCCCCAGGTTAGGAAAGTTTTCCACATAACCCTTCTACCCCTTTTTCTCTCTCTTTATCTTCTGGGTCCCCTATGATTCTGATGTTGTTCCTTTTTAATGAGTCACTGATTTCTCTAATTCTTAAAATTTTTTCAATGTTTATTTATTTTTGACAGAGAGACAGAGTGTGAGTAGGGGAGGGGCAGAGAGAGAGGGAGACACAGCATCCAAAGCAGGCTCCAGGCTCTGAGCTGTCAGCACAGAGTCCGACGCGGGGCTCGAACTCACAAACCATGAGATCATGGTGACCTGGGCTGAAGTCGGACGCTTAACCGGCTGAGCCATTCAGGCACCCCTGATTTCTCTAATTCTTAAATTATGCTCTTGTGCCTTCATCTCCCTCTTTTTTTCCGCTTCATTATTCTCTATAAGTGTGTCCTCTCTATCGCTGATTCTCTGTTCTGCCTCATCCATCCTTGCCGCCACTGCATCCATCCATGATTGCAGCTCAGTTAGAGCATTTTTTATTTCACCCTGACGAGTTTTTCCTTCTTTTATCTCTGCAGAAAAGGATTCTAATCTATTTTCGACTCGAGCTAGTATTCTTCTTATTGTGATTCTAAATTCTGGTTCAGACATCTTGCTTGTATCTGTGTTGCTTAAATCCCTGGCTGTCGTTTCTTCGTGCTCTTTCTTTTGGGGTGAACGCCTTCATTTTGTTATTTTGAAGGGAGAAAAGGAGTTAATGAGGTAGAATAATTAAAATTAAAAAAGAATTAAAATTTTAAAAAATTAAAATTAAAAAATTAAACACACAAATCTAATAAATGATGCTAGATCTTAGGTGTGTTTTTGGTCTGGGTGTTGAAAATGGCTTGACAGATTAGAGAAAAAAAGGGGGGGAGGAAATTGTTTGAGAATTTGAAAAAATGAATACACTGAAGTAGACTACAATGAGATGATGGGAGTAAAATAGAATTTGAGAAAATTTACACAAAAGTAAAGAATATAGTAGAAAAAAATTAAAGAAAAATATTTTTAATAAAAATTAAATATAAAAATGAAGTTTTCTCTTTCAGAAAAAGAAAAGAAATGAAAAAGAAAAAAGAAAAAAAAGAAATCGCTTGAAAATTTGAAAAAGTGAGTACAATGTAGAAGACTAAAATAAAATGATGGAAGTAAAATAGAATTTGAAAGAATTTACATAAAAGCAAAAAATATAGAAAAAAATAAATAAAAATATTTCTAATAGAAATTGAAAGTAAAAATGAAGTTTTTCTCTTTCTGCATTCAAGCAAAAGAAAAGAAATGAAAATGAGAAAAAAGAAAAAAATCATTTGAAAAGGTGAATACACTGAAGTAGACTAAAATAAAATGATAGAAGTAAGAATTTGAAAAAAATTACACAAAAGTAAAAAATATAGTAAAAAAATTAAATAAAAATATTTTTAATAAAAATTGAAAATAAAAATGAATTTTTTCTCTTTCTGTATTCAAGAAAAAGAAAAGTAGTGTAAAAGAAAAGAAAAAAAGAAAGAAAATTGAATAGATGGACCTGCTAACAGATTGAAATAGGGCTGAAATTACTTCGCTTTCCCCTAGAAGTCAGATTATGTAGCGCTTTATAGTCCATAAACTAAGCTGGCGGTGAGACTCGTGTTCTTGAAGAGCGAGGTTGGCCCAGTTGGGCGGGGTTCAGTGTAATGGCTCCATTCTCCACTAGATGGCACCACTAGCCTACTGGGGCGGATAGTTGCGGTGCTCATAGGTGGGTATGTGCATGGTGGGAGCGGTGAAAATGGGTCCACCCAGCTACCCAGTCTCTAGTATTGGAACTCTGTTCTCCCCAATCAGCAATCGCGCACCTGTCCTCTGTCTTCAGCTCACATCCACTCCCCGCTTTCTCACTCTCCGTGACCAGGCCCCGGGCACCTCTCTCCCGAGTCTTGTCTCAGATGGGGCTGTTTTCCCGGCCCCTTACTTCTGAAGGCCTGTGGCTTTGACCCGTTCTGCCCCTCTGCGGGAGGGTCTCACCGAGCAATGGTCAAATGCTGGCTGCATGCAGGAACGCTTGCTGGACCCTGCTGCAGCCGGTGCCCCGAGACTGCGGCCAGGTGCCAGCCTGCCCCAGCAAAAGTTTGCAAGATAGTGTAGCTGCAGCTTTTCAGGAATTATGGAAAATCACAACACACATCTGGCACCAGGCTTCACCCTTAAGGACCTTGTTCCAGCACCAGCGAATGTGGCCGTTTTCTGGGGTCTGCTGGGACCAGGTGACCTCAACAGTCTCTACCAAATGTCCTTCCAGCAGTGGAACTGCTTTTCCCCGTGTGGCCTGAGAACCTCCCGACCCCACTCTGTTCCTGGGGATTCGCTCTTCCCACCAGAGCACCACCAGGTATCGAGCTGCAGAGTTGCAGCCTTTGCGCTCTCCTTGTTTACAGTCTTAATGGAATTTAGACCCTCTCCTTTCTCTTTTCTCCCTTTTTAGTTTAGTCCCTGCGGCTATTTCCAATTTTCCACTTTCTCTCCATCTGCTTTTGGGGGGGTGCTTTTCCCGTATTCTACCCGCACCCCCCCCCCAGAGGCTCCATCCTCTCTCTGCCTGCAAAAGTAGCTCCCTGCCCTCCGTGACTTCTCGCTCCCCAAGTTCACCTCTCTGCACCACGTACCTGCTGAATTCTGTGGTTCAGGTGGTGTAGATTGTTGTGTTAATCCTCCAATCAGCTTTCTAGGTGTGTAGGATGGTTTAGTGTTGGTCTGGCTATATTTCATGGATGTGAGACACACAAAAAACTTCCATGCTGTTTCGCCATCTTGGCTCCTCCCCCGTTCTTCATCTGTTCTTAAGCTGAATGTCTAAGAATGGTTTTAGTTACTACTCCTTCTAACTCCCAGGGTTGTTTTGTGTGTGTGTGTGTGTGTGTGTGTGTGTGTGTGTGTGTGTGTGTTTTGAGATAATTTAGTCTTTTGATTTAATATACAGAATCTGTATACTTATATACAGATTCTCAGCTATAGATATATCACAGATGTAAATATCTCAAGTTTCATTGCCCATGATGGTTTCCTGTCATCTTCTTGCCTTATCTTCATGTCTCTTTAGGTTTGTGATCTGATGAGAACATTTGCTTGAGAAAATTCCTCCTTTGGGGCCACTTAAGTGATACAGTCTCTGAATTCATGCATACCTTCAAGTTTCTTTGATGTGTGAAATGGGATATCTTGGCCGGGTATAGGATTGTGGCTTGTAGTTCTTTTCTCTGAGAAGTCTGTAGATCTGAACCTACCGTCTTTCATTTTCTAGCATGACATATGAGAAGTCCATGGCCAGTCTGATTCTTTTCCTTTGGGAAGTGATTTTGTCTTTTTGTCTGAAGATTTTATGATTTTCTTTCTTTTTTGAATTCAGGAATTTTATTGGCATTTTTCTAGGTGTGTGTCTTTTTTCATACACACAGTCTAGAAATCAGTATTCTCTTTCAGTCTATAGGCTACCAATATTTGTTTAACTTACAGAAATGTTCTTTTATTATTTTTTAAAGTATTGCCTCTTTTTCTAGAGCTCCATTATAGAATTAGGTGTTTAGGCCTGTCCTCCAACTCTCTTATCTATCTATCTATCTATCTATCTATCTATCTATCTATCTATCCCCCTCCCCCTTGTCATTGAGATATTTCTTGGACTTGCCTTCTTAAGTACACTAATTTGGGTCTTAACGGAAAATTTGTATTTATCTTTAGAATTGCTTAATTGCTAAATTATGTTTTGTTTTGTTTTGTTTTAGCTTCAGCATTTCTTGTCCCTGTTGCCAATGATTCCCTCAATGTGATGTTATTTTCCCCCTACTAAATTGTTGTCTGTCTTCTCCAGCAGCTTCATTTCCTTGGGCATGTATTCTATTTGTTACAACTTGTCATTCTGTCTTTGACTGCAGACCATCCTTAGGTGGGATTTGTTGTTGCCATCACTCTTGTTGGATGTCCAATGGGAGCACCCAGGTAAGATTGTTTAAATACCCTGGGAGGCAGCAGTGACAGGAAGAGGGAAGAAAACCAGTTTCCATTCTAGGGAGTTCACGGGTAGAAGTCAGGCCACAACCCCCAATGTTGTATGTACATGGGGGAGAGTTCCCTGACGCTGGTCTCCGTGTACCTTACCAATCTCATGGGCAAAGAGGGATTAGTTAATCCTATTAACTTTTTAACGTTATAGAACCCTAGTAGCCAGGCATGCTTTGTTAGCTCAGATGGTGATCATCACAACTGGCTCCCTTTATCTCCAAAAGCTTCATCCTTCCCAGTATCTACCACTGTCAAATGTCTGGTCTCCAGGCAATCGTCCTGCCCTTGGGAGAGACAGTCCTATTCTAGTTCTCTCTGCCACAGTCCAACAAAACCTAAGACCTTGCCTTCCTCCAGCTTGCTACGGACTCCAATAGCTGTTTGGCTTAGAAAACCCATAGACATGAGGGTAGGAGTAAAGGGAGAGAAATGAACACAGTTAGGTGGCTCTGTTCCCCAAATGTTTCTGCATCCTCTGACAGAGCTTGTATTTTTGTATTCATTTTTTCTTATTCTTTGATGATAGAGAATCTCTCACTCACAAATGTAGTTTGACTTTTCCCAAATGCCTCTTTAATATATGCCAAAATGGATATGGTGTTTCTCTCCTCTGCCCTACTAATGGAACGAACTATACCAGCATCGTTGCCAATACCGACCAATACTCCCACTCCTGGAGTAAACCCCTAGCCAAGTCATTTCATAGTTAGGATGCTTTCAACTAAAAATTATAAAAATCCAAGCTAGCACCATTTTAAACACTAAAGAAATGTATCGATGTATCTTGCAAAACTGTTATACGCTAGCACAACCACAATATTGACATTGATACAGGAAAGACATAGGATATTTCCATCAGCACAAGCATCCTTTGTACTGCTCTTAATTTTTTAAATTTTTAATTGTGGTAAACACACACACATAATATAAACCTTACTATCTCAACATTTTTGAGTGTACAGCTTAATATGTTAAGCATGTTCACATGGCTGGGCAACTAGCTTCACTCTTGAGTTCTACTTACTCCAATCTTTGGCAAATATTAAACATTTACTTTTCACCTGGACCTGTACTAGACTCAATGGCAGGGTGGGTATATCATCAGTAATGTTTAAAATGGGGTTGCTGATTACAGAAAATGTTAACAAACTAGGGTGGGGTGGGGTAGGGGGAAATACATTTACACGTGAAAAAATAAAATGGCGACTGCATGTCCCAAAGGCCAAATTGTAGAATAGACAACTTCTGTCTCATCCTTGCCTCCTTTTCTTTTATCCCTTTGTGTGTCTGGGCTTCCCTTTTATGACCTTCCTCTTTCTTTTATCTCTTCTCTAGATATTTCAGAAACCAAACTCTGTGAAATTTATTACCTCTGGTGAAATGCCAAAGTGATTATCTAATTAATCAGAGTGCCCGAAGGACTTTTCCGTTTTTCTGCACCTGTCATGAAACTTACTAAAATCACATGGAAGGCTTTCCTTAGAGGCTTCATCCGTATAGCCATTTGCTTTGGTCTCTGTCCAGCAGGTGGCGCTGAAGGATAGTTAATTGAAGCCATTATGCCTCTCAATAGTACCCTAAATATCTACTGGGTTTTAGAGCATTTTGGCTTATTCTACTTGATTGCATAATAATCAAAATCTTGGATAGTCTATCCCTTGACTCTTTCACTCCTGGATTCCCAACATTCTTTTTGCCCCAATTCTTGGCAATTTCAATATCTGCGTGGATACCCTTCCCACATCTTGACTTCTCAGTTCCTTGACTTCCTTGTATCCTTGATCCCTTCCCATTAAACAACCTAGGACATTTTCCTTTGGGCTTTTCTTTCTTACCTACATCATGGTTGGTGATATCCAGTCCAGTGGCTTCAAATACCACTTACATGCAGATGACTGTTGACCTTCTATCCAACACCAATGTCTTCTCTAAGACCAGGCTCCACCTGAGTGTCTCATCAGCATCTCAACTTAACATGTTCCAAATAAGAGCTTCTCTCTGCTTCCCTCACAGTCCTTCGCCTCTCAATGAATGGCATCTCCACCTCCATGGCTTGGGCCCCAAACCTTGACATCACGCTTGACTTCTCTCTGTCTCTCCCATTTTCTGTCCCATATTTTGCAGATCCTGTTGGCTCTTCTTTCAGAATATATCCAGAGTATGACCACTTCTCACCATCTGTGTACCATGTCCCTCTCCAAGCCAGAGCCACCTCTTACGGGGACAGCTGTCATGACCTTCCAATTCATCCCCAGCCCCTGCCCTGTCTCCTTCCCATCTATTCTGAAGACAGCAGCCAGCGTGACTCTGTTAAAACATAAAAGAGATCCTACCCTTTTTCTTTTCTTTTTTTTTAATAAAGTGTATTTATTTCGGGGAGAGAGAACACGCAAGTAGGACAGAGAGAGGGTGACAGAGAATTCCAAGCAGGCTCTATGCTGCCAGCACAGAGCCCCAGGTGGGCTCAAACTCATGAACCGTGAGATCATGACCCTAGTGGAAATCACGAGTTGGGTGCTTAACAGACCGGACCACCCAGGCACATCCCCCCCATCCTTTTCCTAATTAACATTGCCAAGAATTCCCATCTCACACCCAATAAAAGCCCAAGTCATTACAATGGCCTACAAAGCCATATACAAGGATGCCCCCACCCTACACCAAGCTCTCTGTACCTCATCTTCTAGTACGTTCCCCACTCACTCTGCTCCAGTCTCACTAGCACCTCTCAGTTCCTCAGCACCCCAGGCCTGGTCCCATCTCAGACCAGTTGTGTCTCTTTCCTCTGCCCGGAAGGATCCTCCCCCAGCAGTGTCAGGGCCCCTCGGCCACCCTCTCCCCACCAATGAGGTTCTTCCCTGAACCCGTGGTGGAAAATCACAGGCTGGCTACCCTCATAATTCTCTAGCCTGCTTCTAGCTTTCTTCTTCTCCATAATGATTTCAACACACACACACACACACACACACACACACACACACACACCATACACATACAGATACCCATCTGCTTTCTTGCCTGTCTCTCCCCAACTAGAGTGTAAGGTCCATGTGGGCTGAGACTTGTGTCTGCTTTGTTCACTGTTGTCTCCCCAGGGCCGACAGGAGCGCCAGGCACAGGACCAGCCCTCCATACAAGCTTGCTGAATGACCAGTGAACAGATGATTATTCTGGACCACATTAGTGGTCGAATCCCAGAATGTGTCTGGACACACAAATAAATACCACCTACCACTCATGACCGACAGTACTTTGCCCTTCCGAAGTACAAGCTCAGGCAGATCTGCAAGTCCTTTCAAGGTCAAGGCTTTCCTGAAAGGAAAGATTAAAACTCAGAACAAACCAACTCACATGCCTTTGTAAATCATTTCCCAACAAATGCTCTGCCCACAGTTCCCTTTCCTGGGGCCAGCTATCATCTGAAGGTATAACTCCTAATGGCATAATTCTGCAAAGCTGAACACAGTGGCATGTTTTATAAAATACCAGCCAGCGACAGAAAAATATCCTCATCCTTACAATCATCTATAAATGCAGGGTTCCCACCCCCACCCCCCCAGCCCAGCCAGTATTTTAGAAACCTGAGAATAGATGACTGTAATTCATTTTGTTTGAATGACACTAAATTTCTTCTGTGGCCACTTAAGTGTCTTTAAGCCCTAAGATACTGGCATTAATCTTAATAAAAGGAAGAACCTTGGATCTCTATCCTCCAAATGGCAGTGTGTCCTACATTTCAAATGTGAAGGGTGTTACCAAGTCGTTTCTCTGACTGTTTGTCACTGAGATAATTGCAGTTATATTTGCTCAGAAGAGTGAGACCACACCCAAACTCTCTTTAGTACTGATGAGACTTGAAATGCTAACACCTTTCTGGAATGCGGAGTAAGGATTAAGGAAAGTGGCATTAATTCCTGGGTAGAGAAGACAATGGTCTCAGGAAATTCTTTCAGGAACTCTACATGTTTTCCATAACGTCCAGCCTTGAAAACATTTTCCGGGTCCTTCTGATACGCCCACCCCCCCATCTCATGAGTGAATCTGTCTTTTCATTTTTAGTATTTTCAGGCCTTAAGGGAAAAGTCACCCGCCTCTTTGCTATATAGTTTGTCCTTGACTAGCCAGCGTTTCCTGTAGCGAATGTTCACTTAGCGTATATTTTGTGCTGGCCGCTGTGCTAGGTCTTAAGATGAAGATAAGGAGAATAAATTGAGCTTTATTCCTAGGGGCTCACAAGGCATTAGAGAGATGTGCAAATAGATCATCAAAATGCGAGGTGATGATTCCAAATCAGAGCACAGACGAGAGAGGAGAGGCAGTGTATTCCTGACGGGCTCTGCGATGGTTTCGTGGAGAAAGTGACATTTAGGCAGAATCTTGACTGATGAGTGGGAGTCCACCGAATATAGAAGCAGGAGGGAAAGACTTCAGGCAGAGGAAAGGATATGCAAAGCCTGAATGTGTGAAAGTACCAGGCAGGGCGGTGGAACACGGAAATGTTTGCTGTGCCTGAGCCTGCGATGCCGAGGGGAGAGAGACGTCCCGAAACACTGAAGAGTCTGTGTGCCCTGCTCCACGGTTGGGCTCGATCCCGTAGACACGAAAGGGTTTTAGGCGATGGGTGAATGCACCCAGGGTTGTAGGGTGATGGCTCCAATCCCGGGCTCCCCGAGGCGTAGGCCAGACCAGCGGCCGCGGCCTCACCTGGGAACCTGGTAAAAACCCAAGTTCTGGCCCCCAGTTCAGATTTCAGAGTCAGAAATTCAGAATTTCTGGTCATGGAGCTTGGAAATCTGTATGGTATTAAGGCGTCCAGCTGCTTCTGATCCACATTCAAATGTGAGACACACTGTCCTAGTAACAGTTTGGGAGAGACAGATTGAATCTGCACAGATTGTTCCAAATAGCTCAGGCCCGAAAAAAGAAAAAGCCAGGGGCGTGAGTTTAAGCGGGACAGGATGCATTAGAAAGACCTTTCTGAAGGTTTGGCAGGAGGTAGGCAAAGGATATCTCCAGATACCCAGTTCTCAAATCTCACCAACTACCCAAATTGGGTGGCTTTTAAAAATTGTAACTTCCGGATCCTGCTCCTGATTTACCAAACAGAATCAGTATCCTGTTTTGGGCTCTTCTTCCTCCGCTGTACTTAGGTCTTCTCTGTACTTTGTGTTTTCCGTTCATGGAATCTTCCTTCTTGCTAAAGTTGTTCAACCTCTTGCACTTTGGGGGGATTTCTGGCAAGTGCCACTTGCCTTCTTTCTAGGAGAAGACAGCCTTAGAGCATCAGAGCTGGGGGTTGGGGGGGCTGTCGCTATGCAGAGACCCGTCCGTGGCTCTCAATTCTGGCCACTCACTGAATCCCCTGAAGAGAGTTATTTTTTAACGTTCATGTTCGAGGGGTGCCTGGGTGGCTCAGTCGGTTGAGCCTCCAACTTTGGCTCAGGTCATGACCTCGAGGTCCATGAGTTGGAGCCCCGCATCCGGCTCTGTGCTGACAGCTCAGAGCCTGGAGCCTGCTTCCGATTCTGTGTCTAACCTCTCTCTCTGCCCCTCCCCCTCTCATGCTCTCTCTCTCTCTCAAAAATAAATAAACATTAAAAAAAAAAATCTTAAATGTTCATGCTCAGGTTCAACCTCAAGGAAAATAAATTAGATTTCCTGGGACTGAAGTATTTCTCAAATGCCCCCTCGGTGATTCTAACGTACAACTAGCACTAAAAACTGGCGAGTGGTCCGACAGCCTTGTTTTAGGGAGAAGGCATCCAAAAAAGAGAGATCCTAGGGCCACGTAGGAGCCTGTCACATAACCTGGGTCAGATAAGGGCATAGTCAGCCACATTAAAATGCTGAGGAGGTGGAGGGGGGGGTGAGTACCAAGAAAAGATCATTACATTTCATAATGAGGACACTGCTGTTGGACTTCAAGGCACAGATGGCCGCACAAAGCCAACCCATAGACTGTTGCTAAAGCAATGAGGGAAACATTGAAAACAACCGCAAAAGCTAAAAAGAAACAATAAAAACTTACCAGGAGTATTCAAACAAACAAAAAAAAAGAAACCCCTTCATGTCCTACACTTGGAAAAAGAGACAGGGGCAGAGGAACGCACGATTCTGGAGTGATACAATCCATGTGGCTCCTGACAGCTCTCTCCTCCCCCAAAAGTGTTACTGAGGAAAGAACACGAATGAGTCAGCAAAATCTCGAGCCTTCTCACTAATGCCTTCCAATCCGTGAAGTAGACCAAGGGCATGGAAAGGCTTTCCCAGAAAAACTGTGGAAAAGTCTTCCAGATTAGACGCCTTTCTCTCTGGTGGGGTCCTGAGAGATGCTAGAAAGACACAGGAGGGCTTCCCACCCTCCAAGACATTGTGTTGAGTTGGGGTGATGAGCTCAACCTTACTGAGGTTGGTTGTCCCCCTGAGTGGGTCGAGCGGACTCTGTTACATAGGAAAGAATCTCGAAACACTTTCAGCACTCATGCGCCCTGGCTCTGATGTCAGCCCCAGTCTCCATGTCTCTTCCTGCCTCCAGCCTACAGAAAAACCGAGCTGAAAGCGACACCTACCTTAAAATTGGAAAGACATAATAACCTGGCCTCACGATCAGGCAAGGAACCTGTCAAGTAGAATCCATTACAGTGCAGAAGAGCAATTAGACGTCTGAGAAGAGTTGTCTGTTTAAAGCATGAGGAATTTCTGTCTGCTCTACAGATGATTCTGTGGCTAAAGGCAAAGCTACACAAAACTAAACTAAAAGAGTAGGAAAGTGAAAGGAAAGGAGCTGTAGGGAACGGACAAAGAACTTCATCTGGAAGAAAATATAAGCCGAGAAACAGAAGTAGATTTCCCACGAGTGCATCATGATATAGAAGAACTTCTTTTTTTTTTCTTAATTTTTTTAAAGTTTATTTATTTATTTTGAGAGAGACAGAGAGAGTGCCAATTGGGGAAGCACAGAGAGAGGGAGAGAGAGAAAATCCCAAGCAGGCTCTGCACTGTCAGCACAGAGCCTGATACGAGACTTGATCCCATGGACCATGAGGTCATGACCTGAGCCGAAACCAAGAGTCAGATGCTTAACTGACTGAGCCACCCAGGCACCCTCTCTTAATTTTTTTAATGCCAGAAAGTTCTAACACTCTTCAAGGAAATAGTTTTAGAAGAGTGTTGAGCTTCAATCCAGAGGAAAGGACTGAATACAGGTCAGTTGGGGTTTTATGATGACAATGAGTAAAAAGAGGAAAGACATAAGTTTGAGGGTTTATCTGAGAAAAGAGAGGAAAGTATTATTTTTATTATTTCAGTTATGATGAGATGGAATCCTTGAGCATATTTGTAGGCTAAAGAAAGCAAGGCATCAAATGAGTCTCGTCAGTCTTAGGAAAGAAGGATATTCTGTCACATGCAACCCGTGAGTGAACCTTGAGGATGTTATCAAAGAGAAATGGGCCAGTCGTGAAAAGGCAAGGGCCATATGATTGCACTTACGTGAGGTATCTAGAGCAGCCACACTCACAGAAGCAGAAAGCAGAATGGTGGTGGCCAGGGGCCAAGGCGGGGGTGGGGGGCAGTAGGGAGATGATGTCCAAAGGGCACAGAGTTTCAGCTTTGCAAGATAAAAAGTTCCAGGGATCTGTTGCACCACAATGTGAACATAGCTGTCACTGATGCACACTTTAAAATGGATAAGATGGTGTATTTGATGGTCTGCAGGGCTTTTTTTTTAAAGTTCATTTATTTATTTTGAGAGGGGTGGGGAGGGAGAGGCAGAGAGAGAGAGAGAGAGAGAATCCCAAGGACGTGATGCACTGAGAGCTCGCAGAGCCCGACCTGGGACTCGAACCCATGGAACCAGAACTTTGAGATCATGACCTGAGCAGAAATCAAGTGATGGGCTCTGAACTGACTGAGCCACCCAGGCACCCCTGTGACATATGGGTTTGTTTTTTTTTTTTTTACCATAATTATAAACAAATAGATAAAATAGACAGTCTTAAAGTCCAAATAGCCACCTTTTGTCACCTCATTCTCAGGGCTGCTACTCATTTGTTTAGAATGATCTCTATTCTCTCTGATGGGAAGAAATCTTGAGTCAACAAAAAGGAGATAAAAGCCAAAAGATGCAGAAAGAACAAATCACCCTTTGAGCCCCTGGGTTATACCTGAAACAATAAACCTTTGGAATTTTAGTTAGGAAGGATAATAAAAGCCTTTTTTTTCCTTAAAGAAAGGAGGAGGAGGAGGAAGAGGAGGAGGGGGAAGAGGAAGAGACAGGCAGAATAAGAACTAGGAAGAGGAAGGGGAAGGGGAAGGAGAAAGGCATTCTACTGGATCCAGCCTGGC